GGATCTTCCTACAAGTGTGCTGTCTGCTGTTGGAGAATGAATACTGCCATAACTGGGGAACCAAGTTCCTCCCTTTCAAGCCTGCAGCTTGCTTTCAGCTACCAAGTACTTAAAGAATGATATGTGGATTATTCTTTACACAAATGAGACTGTCCTTGTAACACGGGTAGAAATTACTGGTAGTCATCTTTATCTTGCAAAACAGCAACAAATAAATTATAAACAAACAGGACTCCCCAACTAAAACAAAAAAGAGGCACCAAATGATTGCACTAATTCTCAATATAGAAAATTTCCCAAAACTGTTGTCAGACTGATCTTTGGACAAATCTATGGACTTTTTAAATAGCTGTGCATCTGAGAAAACATCTCTTAAACACAATCAGAATTAATTCCTTCTGCGAATAACCTCAAGCAATTGCTTTCCAAGTACCAAAAACAACAAAACATTCATATTCCTATCCTTATCCTGCATTTCTTTTCCTCAAACTGTGATCACCCTATCACAAAGATAACCTTGGTGAATCTGAATATTTTGGGTAAAAAAAGACACATAGTGAACTCAACTGCCTTTTCTACTGCAATTTATGAGGATGAAGAGCAAGACATCAAAGAGCTTCTTTAACATATTTCTCCAACTAGAAGTCCTGAAGTTCATGCCAAATATTTTCCATTGTTATATTTGCTTAACCATAATGCTAATGAAGCAATATTGAAAATGTACAGATCAGGATAGGTGTCAGAATCCTGTTCTTTTTCTGAACAAGCTTAGACAGGACTTTGATTTCAACAGCACCAGCTGGAAAAGAAACACAGATTATACTCTCCTGACCATATTTTTGTTCTGTCCTTCAATTTTATTTTTTTTCCAACTGTCACTATCTCTGCCTTGCCCGGACTTGTATGTTTTTCAGCAAAATAACTGGGCAAATCAAGGGCCAGCAATTTTTCAAAGCAGCCAAATGGAATCTATACACAGAGTGCCTCCCATCGCTGTTTCTACAACATTCTTATTTCTGCAACTACCTGAGTCCTGGGAAGGAAGACTCATGAAAACAATGATTTGTGCACGTCCCCAGACTCTTGAAATGCATCTGTCATTATGGCACTAAAATCTGGCCACAGGGATAATCTGCAACCTGTGTTACACTGGGCCTTCTAAAAGCAGTTTCTTTCACTTATCACAGATCTCCATGCAATGAGAAATGGAGTTTCTTACTTTTGCTCATCACATAATAACTTACTTTATGAATTGCTTCACTGATTGTCATTATACAGAAAGCAACACTCAGCAAAATTGAAAATGAGACTATCTGACCTTATCAGAGCTGCACTTTTTTCCTATGTATTTTTTTTTAAATTGGAGAATGTCTTTCAACTAAGATTTTTTTGGTGTTATGCACATTCTGAGGCTTAAGAAGTAAAATGTGAAAACTGCCATACAAAATCTGCACATATTTATAAATGTAGCATTTAAGGAATTAGATTTAAATCTTTGCATTTTCCCTAAGACTGTCACTTTCAATTACTTTTGTTTTCTACCAAAAAACAAATAAACAAAATGCCAAGCAGTCAGTTAAAAAAAATAAAAAGATACTAAATTTAACCCTTCCTAAACAGCAAATAAAAGGTTCAGTCTGTATAAATATCACCTAACTGTAATTTGCTTATTTCTCCAAACACTTTAATTTCAAATTAAATATGGCCCCAAACCCTCCTTTCTACAATGTTTTATCTCAGCCCAAGAGCTTTATTTTTTCTTGTAGCTCTTTTTTTATCACTAGGGAACTACAGCTTGATCCAGGTCCAGCCCCATCCAGGGCTCAACTGCAATGACTTCAGGGACTCTACCTCAGTCACTAATTAATCACAGGAAATAATTGCAAGTTCCTGCCTCAAGGAATAGCATCATGCTGGACCTCAAGTAGAGCAAACTTCCACAGATGTAGCTGCAGAAGACTGGAAGGCATGTAGCAGACTACTGAAGGCTGGCTGGATTTTAACCCATCTACCCACACAGATGCTCATTTGGCTTGTAGACTTTGTTAGTCTCCTCCTCACACTGCTGCTGACATGGCTCTACTCTTTAGTCAAGGCAAGGGAATATATCACATCCACAGCTTAGCCGCACACTAGCTTATGCCTGACATCCTGGATGCTTTAAAATCTTATGAGGACTGGCATTTTAGGCTTTGAAAGGAAATACTAGATACACTGACAATGAATAAGAATTAGGCTTGTCTGTTTTTCACCACTGTCCCTGTACCTTTATTGCCATCATGTGGCAGAAGCAGCAAGGTCTGAAAGGATATAGCTGAAAACAAACAGATTTTATCCAAGCTATTTTTATGCACTTCAAAAAAGTGTCAAATACTTCCTTTGTAGACATGCCCACATACACACTATATACATTCATTTAGAAACCACAGCCCCACAGTTTAAATACAATTTCCAGCTACTCTAAAAAGCCACCTTAGCAATCAGTAGTTGAGTCTTTATCACCCAAGCCTTGGGGAAAACGATTAAAGGTAAACTGTCCCTGCTTTGACTGCCTCCTTTCTCCTCCCACCCCAGAGTGCTCATTGAAGAAATCAGACTGTCAAAGGGAAGGCGGTTTCTGAGGGACACACGACAATTATTCATAGTCACTGAATAGGAAAATGCTCTTTATATTCGTGTGGTGTAGCCAGCATCTCAAGTGAAGGGGGAGGATGCCGATTTTAATGGCTGCCATCGGATCTTTTGATGCTTTCCATAATCAGTAGTCTGAAGTGACCATTATTATTTACTTTACCCTAGTGCCTGATAGCCTATGTATTGTCAAGTTTTCTTGGATAGCTTATGTAAAAGAGATCTGAAAGAGAATAATGAGGTACAGCTGCACAAAGTGTTGCAGCTTGACAGAACAGACTAAAAGCTTACTCCAGTACCTTTCCTTATGTTGTTTTTTTTGTGTACATCTCTCTCACCATGGCCTCTGTAACCCTAAAGCAGCAAAGCCAAGTTTTTCCACACAGAACTTCACTTCTCAGATCATGTCATTCAGAATTGCTAGTCCTAATTAAAGAATTTCTGACTTTAAGTAAATGCTCACAAAAAAGTTCTGATGCTTTAGTCTGTAGTCTACCACACAAAAGAAAGTTGTAGAGCAGTACATACCACATCTCTGCCTTATTCCCACTCTAGGTCTGAAATAAAACCCCAGCCACTTCAGGCTTCTCCAATAAGCAGCTTAAAGTATCTGTTTCAGAAGGGAACTGACACCAAAGAGATGCTGCTACTACTGCTCAGCCCTAGACAGGTGGGCTGGCAGCAGAGAAGGGCGCAGAGAGGTCACTTCCACACAGGACACTTCTCTCATTAGGCACCGTTTCTGCAAAAGCCACTAACAGCAGGTGACCAGAGGAACAATACTGGCTACAGTGCTACTACTTGCTTTAGTCTCTGGTTGAGAGGAATTGAAAAAACATACCCCTAACTTACTTGTTTCTACACCTCTTCATTGCTATACAGTTATACCACACATCACTTTTAATCAGCTTAGTGCCCTGGACTCTTCTATTTCAAAGCTGAAATACAACAAGTAATTAAGAACAGGGAGGGTTTGAAATGAACAAAGATGGAGATGGCAACTATTGCCAACCACATTAGTTCAAAGGAAAACTACATTCAAAATCCACTGTTTACATAAAAGGAACACTTACTTTTTGACATCCAGAGAGCCATTTTCTTTGTTTTCCATGTCAACAGTTAGCATAGGGAGGATAGATGCTTTACTTCAGCAACTGATTGATAGGGAGGGAAAAAAAAGCTGTGTTTAATTACTGGTAGTATGACCAGAGCAGTGTAATGTAACAGAAACAAGCATTCTAGCAGGGACACAAGCATGTTTCCACTTGAGAGCAACAGTGCTGTCAAAGACTGATTTCCTTCTTGGAAGCCTGGCAAAATTGATAGTAGATAATGAACTAGGAAAAAAGTTGGCCTATGCTTCAAACACAACAAATAATTCTTGCCTGAAAATCAAGGAAGGTAATATTACATTTAATCCTTTTCAAAAGCATTAAAATTTTGATCAAACTGTATGTATTCATATACGTGGAGATTGACCTAAAATACATAGCTGTGTATCAAGAGAGCTTAATAGGACTTCAGTCATCCTGTGATAGAGGATACAAACAGATGGAAGATCTTTAGAAAAGTTTGGAAATCCATAGCCTTGTTTTACAAATGTGGACTTGGATACAGATAAGTATGTCACTTATGCCCATTGTGAAAATGAAGCTGGTAAGCAGAGTTACTAATTGAGCCCCAAACTCCTGAGGCCTAAATCAGTACATTATCCATAAGACCTCCCTTCCTGCACTAGAGCAGCTTCTTCTATAGGTATGCTACACTGGACTCCAAAAAGGAAAGGAGCACTTGAAGGACACAGGAGAAAATCCAGTCCGTTTCCTTCCTTGCAGCATGCTGGAGTACTTGTACCACATAGCTTTTTCCATCACTCCTCAGAACATGCAGAAATGACCCAAGCCTTTCATTTCTGTTCTCAAGTAAGCCATTTCTATTTCAGAGAGCACCAGAGAACGGACCAAGGACTCAGGATGTTCTTGCTGTAGCATTAATGGATGCCAGTGAAATGTCTCAAAGCTCTGGGGAGTACAGAATAGGAAAATCATGCTCTTCAGCTAAAACTTTGCAAAAATAGAGAATAGCAATTAATACTGCTGTGGCAAAAAAAATAAAAATAAAAGAAGACCCTTTATTATACACGTAGAAGCACGTAAAGCACCAAGAAAACAGTAACAAACTATTCGAAAAGATGCTTTTCCTGCACCGCTGACCAAACAACTCCACGCATTCCCTGAAATCACTTCTCGGTTCACCTGAGGTGACTGCAGACGATACCCGCACCAGCCTACCTGCGGAACGCCCCGCGCCGCGGCCGCGCACGGCCCGGAGCCCCCGGGCTNGGGCGGGACACGGAGCGGTGCCTCCGCCGAGCGGCTTAGCCCCGGCAGCGCTTACCGCCGGGGGAACCGCGGGCCGCTGTGGGCGGGCTCGGACCTGCCGACGGCACACGGCCGGAGAGCAGCGCTCGGGGCTCGCTTCATGACTTGAGGTTCTTGGGGCCTCCTTGTGGGCCTTTCTACTCCTCCGACCAAACGGGGTGTAAGAGATAAAGGAAAGGAAAGGAAACAAATCCCTAGTTGTCGAAGGATGCAGTACCTAGCCGAGGAAATTTTATACAAGGTAGGAAGTAGGAGTCGCCAGATGTTGGAAAATTGATAAAGTTACAAAAATTCATTCCTAGAATGAGTTCGTCAACGCGTATGTGAGTAGCAGACACTTGGCTTTCTGTGGAGCTCGTGCAACTGGAGGTTTGGGGTGATGGGAAAGACGAGTGACCAAGGACAGCACAACCGAGTCACCCCCACCGTGCCACCGCCGGCACTGGGGAGAGAGGAAGGAGATGGAGGCGTTGGGTCTGTGGATCTTACTCGACTGAGCTCCAGACTTTATTTCACAAGGAAACCATACCCACAGGGATTTTCTGTACAGAAAGAATCAACTCAAAGCGCTTACAAATTACTAAGTGTCCCACTGGCCATAAAATCTCACACATAGAGTTTAATACAAAAGTTGTCAAGTTTTTCTGGCAACAGCACTTCTTTTTTCTTTTTATACCATTTTTTTCTCTCTTCAGTATTTCCTTGATTGCTCATGTTTTCTAATGGCATGTAAGCATTACCTAGATGCACTGTCAGTGCAAGGGAAATCAAGCAAGGACTATCAATACACCCTACTTTTCCCCACACATGGGCTTTGCAGCCAGGGCTGCATCCCAGCCACAACTCAGATGCCATGACCTTTTGATTATCCTTAACAGGCTGGGTTATTTCAAATTTGTAGGATGTTTTACTTGAAAAATTTCTGAGTCAAGCCACTCAAATTACACTCCTGCTGTTTGCTGCAATGCAAGGGGGACCTTACAGATTACCTTGGGATTTGCACAGAACCTACTGGTGACTCCGGCCTGATTTCCACAGAGCTCTGACATGAGTGCCTGGCTGGCATGGACAGACAGAGTCTGCTTGGCCACCAGAGTGGGCACATGGGGCTGTCCCAGGCACTTTGCATCCATCTCACTCCCAGACAAAGCTTACTGAATCCTGGCTTGCATGGGGATTCAGGTCACCTAACTGCTGACTGGACACAGTTACAAGCACTAAAATTACCAGAAAAGTGAACTTTTGGGCAAAGGACTGTAGACACAACTTCCAAAAACACTTTATTTTGTCTTATGTATGTGCTGTCAAATAACCAGAGTTTGCAGAAGCTTTGCAAGTAACAGCACTCAAGTATCAACAGAAGTGTTGAGAACAGAGGGCAGTAACAGTCCTCACTGCTTTGGGATTTAAATAAATGCAGATAAACAAAATAAATAGAGGATTAAGTGTACTGTGCCCTAAACAAAACCCTCTTCCCATCCCAAAGTGTACAGTAAAACGTGGCATATCTGTGTTGGACAAGTGAGCCAAGCAAGGCAATTCTTCTCTGTGTCTAAAGAAATAAACATTCTAAATGAAGCCATAATGAGTTTTCTGCATCAGCTGGTTTCTAACTTTGGTAATGAACTGACATTTGAGGATACAAATATAAACGAGCTATTTTACTCATACTCCCTTTCATCATGTTCTTCAGTTAATCCTTTGAGTATTCAAAGTGAGGCTCACACAGTGCATGCATTCCTTGTAGAGGACCTTGAAAGACAGGAATTTTAAGGAAATGGGTTGTGGAAAAATTCAGTGTGGAATATGATCTGTGGCTTGTATTTTCATTCATTGGGGTAAGGTAATTTAATTATAATGAAATTATGTCTGGAGGGAGATAAAGCAGAAAAGTGAATTAGTCTTTTGTTTGACTATTTGCATCCCACTTCTGGCCAAAACCGAAAAGTTTCCAAGCCATGCAGGGAAGCAAGTGAGACCAGGGTTGGTAGATCCAGGTCAAGGGGACTGTCCTATGTGTGTCTGAACTCCTGCTATCACACGAGGGGAAAAAGGCAGAAGTCAGCACAGGAATCGGACACCAGCAGACCCTGTTTTCTAGGTATTGAAAAATGCCAGTTTTCTAATTCAAAGCTATCCTTTCGTTTTGTCCATGGCAATGAAAGAGTAGAAGATTAAATGCACGGCACATGCGGCAAAGGAGAGCATAGCACCCTGTTAGCTGTGGAGAGGGTACTGAATTTCAGTTCCCCAGAGCTAAATAAAGGCCTTTGAACTTTCTTTATTCCAGTGCCCTCGGTAAAAAAATATGGTTACGTGTACGTTGGGAAAGGTGAGTGAGGAAATAACACAGGACCTGTGTGGTTTCACACTGAGGGAAGCCCCTCTCAATAAGATGGCATTATGCAGAGTACATTTGATCTATCCCAGTGTAAAGCACCATTTCTTTGCCAAAAACGACAGAATGTTTCAGAGCCGCTGGACCGTGCCCTAAGCACGGGCGGCCATGCAGGCCGCGAGCCGCCCGGCGCCGCGGGGGCTGCCGGGAGTTGTAGT